CATAAACAAATAAGTATTAATTTAGTTCTCATTCAGTTTGGATTGGTTTTTGAACCATCAAAATAGAAATTGAACTAATATTTTTCGGGTTTTTAGTTTCAGTTCGGTTTTCAACCAATTTGGTTTTTTTCAATTCAATTCGGTTTTCGGTCCCTGTTTTTCGTTTTTCAATTTTCTGATCCCACCACCAGCTTCAATGCTATGTAGCACTCAGTGTTACGCGTGTTTTAGCCATTAAGTGCTACATAAAAAATTCCAATTGTTCAGTTATTTTGAATAGCAGTTGTTTGACACTTAGTACTACTGTCTGGTGGTATATCTCTTCGCTTAGAAGTGAGAGATCTTAAGTTGAATCTCTTGGATGATGAATTCGATACCAAATTAGGATGCCTATTGTGTGGTTTAGCCAAACTCCCCCTCTCCTATGTACTAAAAAAAAGTTGTTATTCATTTTTTGTACCATTAAGTGCTAAATATTGCTGAAAAAAATTCCAAAACAATGAGTAAAAGTTTTGATGCCTTGGTAGCCAAGTAAATATTCAAAGTGTCTGGATGCAAATGTTACAAGCTAAACAAGTTTTTTTTTAGGAGTTGGCTCACATTGCTAGGAAAATTTAAGAGTTCAAATACGACTGGTAAAACAAAATATTAGGTAGGAATTGCATTATTAATTTTTTAATTTTTTTCTAGAAAACGAAAAAAGAGAAGAAAAGCAATAGAGATACGTAATGCAAGCAACCACTAACAAATTATTTTGAATACATCCCAACGTCACGAAACATGACTAGCTGTAGCATTACAATCTTTGACTACACACCAGCCACAACCCTAACAACAGCTCAACGGTGCCAAAAGCAATCTGCCGAATCAGATCTCCCTCTCTGTGGACTCTCTTTCTGGTTGAATAATTAGTGGCACTAGTAATAGTGATGGCGTAATTTAGGACTACTCCATTCAAAAGTCGTGGTGTTTGATGGAAGTTATAATTACTTGCATTCCTCCGCATAAGGTTCTCTCACTTTAAAAAATGAGATCATTCTCTCACTTACAAATGATATATCTTTATCATAAAATTTTTGTGACTAGATACTGTCCAATCTATTAATCTTTATTTGAAGATTATCTTTACAAACAAAAAAAATCATTCGTATCAGATATTGTTTAATTAGTCATTCAAATGTATCAAACAAATAAACGGTTTATCATTAATATGTTATATAGTACCTATATTGTTGATTGTTTGATACATGTAGATGACTAAACTATATTCGATTCGAATGATTTGTTGTGAGGATAATCTACAAATAAATACTACCATGATTCAGGGGGCCTCTTCTTCTCATTATTCCAATTCTCCACCATGGCTCTCTCATTATTAAGAGATTGAACGGTTTTGATCTTGAAATTTTTACGATACAGATACATTATTTGCAAGTGAGAGAATGAGCTCATTCTCCTAAAAGAGAATACAACATTATCCTTAACTATGCAACATAGAAAAAGAGGATTATAATCATAATTATCATAAGATAAGGAGAATAAAATGACTTGAGGTTTCTCTATAACCACAAGGACTTTGTTTGTGCCAAACTTATACCTTATATAAATTAGGCTCTTACATACATATACTGTACATGGTTACGAGAACCTCTATATAGTTTTATTTGGAGGACACTTTACGGTGAAGACACTTTATGAATATGATACTTCCAAGAAACCCTAAAATAACCATCATTTACTCATATAATTTTCGATTTGAGATATTTGTTGTGAATATATTAGAGGAAATTTTTAAAAAATAGATAAAAGAAAGATCTAAAAAATAGATAGTCCTATCAAAATACAATTAAAATAACCTACAAGATTGTTCCTCAAATAAGCATACATCTTTGAGAAAATTTTCAACTAAAGCTCACTAATACTTTACGTTTTAAATATATATATATATATATATATATATATATATATATTTTTTGGGGTAAATAATAAAAAGCTACCTCAATTATTGGTCTGACAACACTTTCATACCTCATCTTTTAAAAATGACAATGTCATATCTCGTCTTACAAATTTGTGCCAACGTCAGACCTCCGTCAGTTTTTCTGTTAAATGCTGACGTGGCCAGAGATGGGACCCACTCACTAATCCAACTGGATTAAAAAATAATAAAACATATTTGTAATAATTAAATATTCAAAAATTAAAAAAATTAAAAATTAAAAAACTAAACAAATAAAAAAGGCCTAGGGTTGCGAGCCTTCCTTTCTTCCACCCGCACCAACCCTTCTCTCTCTCTTCTCTTTATCTTCTCCATTCTCTCTCTACTCTAACTCCCTCTTCTCTCTGCAACCACAGATGTCAAGGAGGAGAGCAACGGAGAGAGGAAGGAGAAAAGGGTCTGAAGGCAAAGTGAGCGGAGGTGGGAAGGAGAGGAGGGGTTTAGCGGCTAAGAGGAGGGGTTTAGCGGCTAAGAGGAGGAGGAAATCGAGAGGTCGAGAGGAAGAGAGAGGTTGGAGGAGGTGGTGGGGTCGACGGTGAATCAGACGGAGGAGGGACTAGGTGGAGAGAAGGTAGGAGGGTGATGGGTGTGTAGGAGGGGAAGGGGATCTGGGTGTGGGTTTTGCATTTTTGTTTGCTTGGTTGTTTTGGTTTCTTCAGTGGGGTGGTGAAGATGGAGGAGGAGAGGCGGCGGTGGGGTGGTGAAGGAAGGTTGGGTATGGAGGGACTAGGGGAGGGATGGGTCGGGTTGGGAGGTGTTGGTGAGGGAAGGACGAGTGTGAGTGGGGAGAGGGATGGAGGAGGGAGACAGCATCCCAGAGAGAGGACAAAGAGAAGAGAGAGAGAGAGTGTGTGGTGGAGTAAGGTTGGGGGGACAGGGAAGGGTTTGGTGGCTGTCGAACAGAAGAAGAAAAAAGGTTGGTGTGGGTGGAAGGGAAGGCCGGATCCCTTAGGCCATTTTTTATTTTTTTTTAGTTTTTTAATTTTTAATTTTTTTAATTATTAAAAAAAAATATTTTTTAATCCAGTTGGATTAGTGAGTGGGTCCCGTCTCTGGCCACGTTAGGTCTGACATTGACACAAATTCGTAAGATGAGGTATGACATTATCATTTTTAAAAGATGAGGTATAAAAGTGTCGTTGGACCAATAGTTGAGGTAGTTTTTTGTAATTTACCCTATATTTTGAGTACTACAGTGTTAAAAATACAAATTGTATCTTCGTACCTGCCTCATTTCATGACTTAACCACTTTTAGCTCAACCATAAAATAAGCAAATCCTAATCACACTCCAACACATTAGATGGTGGGAAAAGTAGTCTCAGTAATTAGTTTGATCTTCTCCATATTTATCATCTTCTTGTGGATATTAGGCTTTTGTGTTTACATTTTTTAATTTTAAGTGATTTTCAATTAATATATTTATAAAACGTAAAGAGACTAAAATGCCCGTATGTCATTTCCGTCAATCTAAATTAGCAGACTAATAGATGTGTTATTCAATTGCAACGATTAGTAAACAACAGTCACTCTGCGTCGGCTATTATGGCTATTAATAATCCCTCTCCAGATATTTCTGGCTTTAAGCTGCTAGCGAAGGATGTTCGTTTCTTTGCCGAGTTGGTCTCTCCGGTTCAGTTTCAACAGGTTCCAAGATTGTGTAATGGGGTTGCCCATAAATTAGCTAAGTTTGCCATTTCCATTGGTAGTGAAGTTGTTTGGCTTGAGGAGCCTCTTGTCCTTATTCATGATCACCTCTGTCCGGATATTATGTAGTTTGTTATGTTCAATAAATATCGATTCATAAAAAATAAAATAAAAAAAGTGTAAACAACAGTCACAAAAATTGTAGGACTAAATAAAACCTGACCTAAACGATAGAGATCAATCGCGAAATTTAAACCCTATTATATTATTCCCTCGAGCCTAAGATAGGTCCGGCAATTCCGATTGATGAGATGCTTATTAGATCTGGTACAAGAGAAACAGTTTGTTGGCTACACTTACCAGAATGATGGCACGAATCCCACCAGCTACGTGTTGATTAAAAATATTAGCTTAGCCTACTAAGCCTAGTGTGTCTAGCTATTTGTGTAGGACCCCGAGTTAATGTAAAACAACTCGTGATTAAAGTTTACTAATCACTATCAACTAACAAGAAGGTTGGATAGTGTTCATGGTGTCAAGTGTACCCTTCAAAAGAGGGTTCACAAGACAACTATGACAAGTTAGCATAGTCTCAAACAATGTCAATATTGTCGGGCTTGTAACTCTGGTAGCTAAGAGTATTACCTTCTATTCAATTATCAATGTCAATGTGGACTCTCCATTACAATCCGCTAGTAGATCTTTGACAAATTTAATCTACTTATAGGTCTAATTAATTATGAGGTTAAAAGGCAATGGACTTAGAATCAGACGAACAGACAAGTTGTGACAAGAGAAAGCAAGCTGGTTTAGCAGCCCGGCTCCATGCTTGGAAGTTTGTTATGCCACTTGAGGTCCCTTGAACCAGAAAATAGAAGAAACAAAAGGCAAAACTAAGCCTTCTGCTCTTTTATAACTCTTCCTTTGTCCAAAATAGAAGGCCAAAAACGAAACCTCCCTCCCTCCCTCCCTTTCATTACCACCAAACCGAAAAAACAGAACCCGGCGTCTTGCCGCCTAGGTTTTCATGACTGTTTGCACATACCGGTCAGGTAATCAGTCTCGAACTATGCCATTCACAATCCAAATCCGGTGAATTACGGTAACAACACTATAGACTTATGCTCAATCTTATCGAACGGTGCAACTCTAGTTCATTTATATGCATCCTTGCACTCACAGCATGAAATCTTCCATGTGCCATTCTAATTTTATTGAATGCGCACGTAGTTTTGTGCGCATTCGATAAAAGAATGCTATGAAAAGTGAAGAAAATTGTGCTCAATCAGGCATACTCGACTCAAGACTCATGCTCAATCTTATGGGATGAAAGAACATTATAAATCCAATCTCGCTGCTTCCAAAAGTCAATCGCGTGTTCTCCATTTATGTTGCAAACATAGCAACTCAAAGTTTATTAAGATCAAAATACTCCACAAATGTTACGATGAATTTGTCCATAATTTAACATTACACCCTAAATAGTTTAAGTTCTATTTGACAAACTCTAGAACGACAGCAGCCAATTCTACATAGCTGACTGATTGGAAAGGAAGTTCCGATTACACCGGTGTCAAACCTACCACACCTGCACACACAAGATCACAATAAAAAGTGAAGAAAATTGAAGAATTTACAGAAATTACAGAAACAAGCCTACGAGAAGTTACATGTATGCTGCAGTGTTGGAGAACATATTCAAGTTAAAACTCATTGATACAGTGATTATGGGATTCACAAAAGAAAGTTCAACCAATATCGGCACTTGAAGCAGTATGTACCTGTAGATTTAAAGCAACTGTACTTTTTTACGTAAACACACAGCATGTCCAGAAAAACTCGGAAACCATTTTCTTAATTATCATCTGCTTAACCATCCTCCATAGTAATTAACTAGGATATGACTGAAATGCATGTGTCTGAGTGTGTGCCCAACTACAAGATGTCTAGGCCCAGATCTTTTGATGTGGGAATTGGTTCCACGGCCGGGAGAACAACAAATAGTACGCTTAATTTGGTCCATGAAACCATTTTTCACTTGGAAGTGACATTCACAGGACTACAAACTAGCTAAGATGATAAGGGAGAAAGGGGGGGGGGGGGGCGGGGTGGGGTGAGGGGGGGAACCATACACCGCTTCCTTTCTTCCTATGTTGAACATAGCTGTTGTACGCCTAATATAAACCATTACGTGTACCGATAATGTTGTTACCAAAGCCTATCATTTAAAGAGCACCTAAGCAATGGAAAAATAATGAAGAATACGCCGCCGTTACTATGACCGGAACAAAATGCACAAGATACTCACTCTCAACCCAATTCCCTTTGCACTGTTTACTAACTATTCACTAGAACTACAATTTAATAGGAGAGAGAATGAGAGAGGGATTCTCTGAATGGTTCTGAAAACCTCCTTTATGAGGCTAACGATGAGAGAAATTAATCCTAGAATAATTGTAATTGATGACCCATTAAATAAGCAGAACGGCTCCATGAATGCATCTATAATCTATTGCGATCTAGCCATTTATCAACATATAAGTATCTCAGATGACTCCCATACAGAGACTATTTGGCCCAAACCCATGTCTGAGTTCCCAACAAAATATGTCATATTTGAAGTCACCTTATCAATTGGATTATGTCCTTCAAGTATTATAGACTGCAACAGGCATCCACATGCTCGGCCATATAGGAATTTCCACCCATAGGTTGGGACAAAAAAGAATTCATCAACAGATACAAGATTTGCAATTCATCATTCCAACAATTTTTTAGTTAAATTAGTTGGCTGTGTTTTTATTGAAACAATTACAAAGTTTCGGATATAATTCAACAGAAAACATGGCCAGTGTACATTTTTATTTATTGATTTAAAATAATCCATATATACAAGATACGGTAAAACACCGAAGCTAATAATATCAAGGTTTCTCAAGACCCTTATTAAACATGGAATATGTTTAGTGGTTTTGAAAGAGTTACTAATTTTATGCTACACGCACACACAGAAAGACATGCACAAATATAAAAGGTTATCCCTCAAATTTACCCAATAGAACGTTAATAAAAGGTATAATGTTTCCGGAGGCTCTATGCATAACAAACTTGTTGATCACAAATTTCATATGTTATAGCACCTTAACACAAGTTAGTCATGGGCATTTTCTTTTAGTTTATCACTCATCATAAAGGCATACATTAGAGGAAAACCTGTCGTGCTACATCTAATGAAATAATTATGCACAAAGGCCCATGTCTAATGAAATAGTTACCCTATTTCCTGAGAATATTATTCCTCATCATCAATTTATCATATTCTTCCAACTCACAACTAGAAAAAGGAACAACATACAATCTTCTTTCAAACAGTAAAACAGAAAAGGGATTAACAAGAACAGAGAAATAAATTGTAAGTCAAATTTTCTTGCTTACCACATGCCAATCTTCCACCTGCATTGCCAGTGCTCAAACTGAGTTCGTGTCCACCTACAAATGCAAACCAAATGTGATTGAGGAAAGTAATACAAAGAGGGAGGAAGAAACATCAAAGGTGGTAACTTGCTTTTCTACATCCCCCAACAAATGAAAATGGAAGGGAACGAAAAACTTTTCTTGTCATTACCCACCCAAATGGTTTGTTCAAAAGGATAAAAAGAGTTAATTTCCAGTGCCAACCATACACTACCATTGCACGTAAAATTTCTGTACTTATGCTTTAAATGCAGTTACAAGTTTCTTCAACAAGTTGATTATAAACATACTTACCCTTTCCAAGATCATCCTCAAGCTCATGAACGACAAGTGCTCTTCCAATTATAGCATTAGGACCAGTTAATGGTATCTACAAATTTTAGCCAAAACCAAAATCTTAGTAATCAAATACTACTAAGGTGAATACGGTACCAAAAAACATAAAAATGTCAGACACCAAACCAAAACTTGTATGAAGATAAAGATAAACATGCCCTGAAGGTACACACATTCTTATAGGAAAGTATTACCCAAGCTGATTACCTGTTTATCCACGATTGTTGCCTCTGCCACCCCTGCATCCCCACAATAAATCACTTAGTACATTAACTGGATTGTGATATTGGAAAAAAAAAGTTAGAAAAGGGAATTAAAATATGAAATTACCATCAGCATTGGCAACTATGTTTCCCAGGTCACCCGCATGACGGATTTCATCCTCAGGAGCACCATGTGTCAACTGTTTAGGATTGAAATGTGCTCCTAGTAAGGGGAAAAGAAATTAATTAGAATGGCATCAAAATAGAATCACAAATATAACATAATATTATAACCCTAACATTTTAAGCTTAAGTTGATCCTACCTGTGGATATGCATCCATTTGTCGTATCACCATACTCATGCTACACAAGAAAGAGAAACACTTAGAAACAAGTTTACTAATTCACAGATGCCAAAAGCTAATTCAAAAACACTTACCAAGTGGAACCCATGAGGCCCGGGAGTAAGTCCAGTAATACGAACATTCACGGTTGTAGGACCTAAGAACAGTAAAACACAATCAGTCATAAGCAGTCATTGCACCATCAAATGTCACTGAAATTATGAGTGCAGATAACGCAAGTTTCTGAGTACGGAATGCAGACCAATCACACACAATTAAAGGAACAATTGAAACAGCAATCAACTAAATCAAATATAATCCGAGTCTGGGAAGATTTGAGTACCCACACCTTCAAATTATCAACAAATAGAAGTTGAAACTAGATAACAAGAAAATCTACAGATTAAACTATTGCTTTAAGTCCAAACAACCTATTCACTACCCAATATGCAGAATCCAAATTTAGTTTTAAACCGCGAAAAATTCAAACCGACACACAATCTTTTCAACATTTCCATTCTCTTAGACATAAAACAATATGAGATTAAACCTAGCAGAGTTGACCATTTTAGAATATAAACCAACATTCAGCAATAGTATCGAAAACCCATATCAGAGTAAGGAAACAGATATCGATAGCGCAATCACAAATTGAAGGGACAGAGTTAAAGAAGATACCATCGTCTTCTTGGCTCAAGGTAACGACTCCTTCAACACTGGAAGTGCCCTTGAGGACAGCGACGGCTTTCTTGGTGGCGGCGACGACGGTGAGGGGCTTAGGGGCGGCGGCGGCGAAGGACATGGATTGGGATTTGAGTGGGAGCTTGAGGGAGACGCCATGGAAGAAGGAATGAGGAATTGAGCGAGGGTTAGGGTTTTTAAGCTGGGAGAAGAAAGTGGGGGATGAAGGCATCACAGTCTGAGCTGCCATGACCACCGAAGCTGCTTGCATTGTTTGCTTTGGATTGGGTGGTGGCTGGGTGCGGTTGAGATGATAAAATGAGAGTGAGGAGCTGCCACTCGGGCGCTTTTGGTGTTTTATTTGGGACTTTGGTTCCTTCTTTTCAACAGTTTTCGGAAGATTCTGGGTTTAACCGCTCTCCATTTTGTGCCGTAAAAAGTGGTTACCTTTGTATTGATACCATTTCGGACCCAAATTTTTATTCTTAATGTTTTTAGTTTTAATTTTGGGATAGCGAAAATCAAATTCAGAGTTCCAAATGGTGAAAATTCTTTACCAATTGAGCTACAAACGATATTAAGTTAATTTTTATGTTTGGATACCAACCAAAAGATTTCACCTTTATGTCGTTACTATTGGAACATAAATTAGCCCAAATCACTTGACAAACACTTTAGCGTAACAACTTGGCCTTTAACTAAAAAAAAATTCGCCTCATTTATGGCTGTGCTCAGATAGCAAATCAGGATTGAATGTGGCGTCTAATGAGGTGATACTCGGTGGTCGACAAGGAATCGGATGGATTGCCTGGAATTGTGTCCGTAGAGAAAGCAGTAGAAGCTTCTGGTTTCAAATGATGTGTTTTTATTTCGGCCCAACTGTTTTTGGGCTTTTTTTTGTTTTTGTTTTGTTTTAGGCCCATTTTTGTATGTTTATATGTTAGCTTCGATATTTTGTTTATATGTTACCAAAAAATAAAAAAATAAAAAAATGTTGTGTGATTCTCACGGTCTTATATTTCACTTTATAGGTTCCTCCGTTTCCTCTGTATCCGTTGTCAATGGAAGTCCAAATAAACCAAACCAAATAACCAGAATCCTGGAGCTTCCAATTTGCATCCATGGGCACCCCCAACCCAAACCTAAACCCATCATCCATGCGGGTCCTAGTCCGCCCACCTCCTACACCCACCGCCAAACCCACTTCCAATTCACCCACCCAAACCCTTCCGCTTCCCTCCTCCGCAGACCCTCCCTCTTCCGACGGTGTTGTCGTCGTGGGCTTCATTGGCCGGAGCCCCGACGACTCTGCTCAACTCATCAACCGGATCCTCGACTCCAACGTGTTCGGGTCGGGCAATCTCGACAAAAGCCTCTTTCTTGACAAAGAGGAGCTCAGGGACTGGTTTAGGTGGCGAAGAATCAGTTACTTCCATGAACAGAAGAAGGGCATTCTGTTTTTGCAGTTCTGCTCTATCCGGTGCCCCGCCGTGGCTGATGGGTTCTCGGATTCCAGGTCGGGTTTTGACTCTTCAGTGGAAGAGCATGACTTTGGGGACCTTCAGGCGCTGCTCTTCATGTTCTCTGTAAGTTGTTGCTTTTTTGGTTCTCTCTCTTTTTCTTAGAGGAAGCATTTCAGTTCAGATGTTGGGATTGTAATATGTTATGGTGTAGTACAGAAATTAACAGAAATGGATTCTATAATTGTGTATAAACATCGGAGTATTGCAAAAAATCTGTGTGAAAATTTTGCAGACAACGGGTTTCGTGGGCATTGTTTTGTATCTAGTTGCTAGTACAAGAACTAATCTGTACTCAGTACATGACCAGTTTTTGTATTGGAGCAGTTAGAATTTTGAAAAGGAAGTTTTGGGGTTTTAATGTTTAGGAGATACGAATGTCGGTGAATGGTTAATTTAACTGTGATTAACCCAATGAGTAATGCAGGTTTGCCATGTAATAGTATATATTCTGGAGGGATCACAGTTTGATTCGCAACTCCTACAAAAGTTTCGAGTGTTACAAGCTGCCAAGCATGCTTTGGCTCCGTTTGTGAGATCTAGAACTGTGCAGCCAACTTCGTCCAGGCCACCTTCAACGTCATCCTCACGGCCTACCACATCCGCTACCTCCACTAGCAATTCTTCTCAAGGTAGAAGTGGTGGCATCTTGACTCGCAATGCTTCTTCCATTTCACTTATGTCAGGTTTAGGTTCCTACACTTCTTTGTTCCCAGGACAGTGTACCCCAGTCACACTGTTTGTTTTTATTGATGATTTCTCTGATGCGCCAAATCCCAGTTCTAATCTGGAGGAGTCAGCAGATACATCCTCACTTAATCAATCGTCTAGTGTGAGCAGTTTAGCAAGGCCAAGCTTGCCTGTTAAAGGTTCGGGTTCAGTGGTTGTGCTTGCCCGCCCTGTGAGTAAATCTGAGGGCAGTTTTCGGAAGAAACTGCATTCATCCCTTGAAGCACAGATTCGTTTCTTAATTAAGAAGTGTAGAACACTCTCAGGTTCTGAAAGCAGTCATGCGGGGTCAAGAAGCGGGGGTGCTTCAAATTCAGCACCTTTATTCTCCCTTGATGCATCAAGGGCTGTCCTATTGTTAGATAGGTCTACGAATCAGAGAGGTGAATCTCTTGAATTTGCCACAGGACTTGTGGAAGATGTTTTGAATGGGAAGGCAACCTCAGATTCTCTTCTGCTTGAAAGTCATGGTCAGAATGCAAGCAAAGAGGATATCATATCAGTCAAGGATTTTATTTACAGACAATCTGATATTCTAAGAGGCAGGGGGGGACCGGTAAATAATTCCAGTAGTGGTTCAACTGCTGGTGTAGGTATGGTTGCTGTTGCTGCAGCTGTTGCCGCTGCATCAGCTGCATCTTCATCTGCTGCATCTTCATCCGCTGCATCTGGAAAGACGATGTCTACTCCTGAACTTCCAAATTTCCAAATTTGGTTATCTTCCAGTCAACAAATTCTTGATGGAGTTCTTTCTGCAAAAGGTGGGTGCTTATATGAAACTGAAATTAGCAAACGAAAACTTCGGCTAAGAAACACTGTTCCACAGCAGGCTGAAGGAGTTTCTTCAAAAGGTACGGATCCTCTAGATTTAGCAGTATCTTGCCTGGAGAATGGTAAAAGGCTAAACACAAAATTTTCAATTTTGTGGTGTGAAAGGACTCTTCCAGCTGCTAAAGAGGTTTATCTCAAAGACTTGCCTGCTTGTTACCCAACTTCACAGCATGAAGCCCATCTAGAGAAGGCTTTGCAAGCTTTCCATTCAATGGTGAAAGGACATGCAGTGCAACAGTTTGCAAAAAAGTTGGAGGATGAATGCACATCCATCTGGAAATCTGGAAGGCAACTGTGTGATGCCGTTAGTTTGACTGGAAAACCGTGTATGCACCAGAGACATGATGTTGAAGCTAGTGAATCACTTTCAGGAGTTCCTGTGAAGCAACATTCCAGTGGATATGTTTTCCTTCACGCATGTTCTTGTGGTCGTTCACGGAAGCTAAGATCTGATCCTTTTGACTTCGAGTCAGCAAACATTACTTTCAATTGCTTCCCAGATTGTGACAAGCACCTTCCCACACTTCAACTGCCTGAAGTAAGCAATACAGGCCCTATTCAACCTTCCTCATGGAATTTGGTCCGCATTGGTGCTGCAAAGTACTATGAACCTTCTAAAGGCTTGCTTCAAAGCGGGTTTTCTTCCACTCAGAAGTTTCTTTTGAAATGGATAATACATTTGGGAAAGCAGAAAAGCCTGAATGAGTTACCTACCAGTGCAGTGCAACAAGGTTCAGTAGTTAGGTCAGAATCCAACCTCAAGTTTGAATCTAAAGCTGGTGTGCAGTTGTACACAGGGGAGTTAAAATCTGGAGTAGCAAGTCATAGAAAACCTGCAGAGGACGTAGTGTCTGATGATAATAAAATCAGTTTTGGGAAAGGTCTTCCCAATTTTACCATGCGTAAAGCTTTTTCTGAGGTTGTCGCTGGAACAGCGACTGTAGATTCAGGATTTCCTCCTATCCAGCCGAGGAAAAAGTCTTCATTGGGTTTAGATAAGATTATCAAGAAAACTAGGACAATGGATCAGCGTGTAGAACGGACTAGTGATAATGGAAATCGGAAATCTGAAGATGTTTTATCTGTTCAGGAAAACTTTAGTGAGACCAACAGCACAAATGGTGACCCCTATCTACAGATAGGTAGTAATGTAGTTCCTGTTAACCTGAATAGCGGTGAAAAGTTCAAAATGAACCCTTCTTTAAAACAGGTAGTAGTGTATGTTGGATTTGAGCATGAGTGCCCCCATGGCCACCGTTTTCTATTAAATCCAGAGCATCTTCATGAGCTTGGGTCCTCATATCAATTGCCTGAAGAATCTCAGGAAAACTTAGACCATAGCCTGCTGGATAATTCGAAAATGAGTAGGAATGGTTTCCATGGTAAAGTTCAGCGCAATTCAAATAGGATTGCTACTGCTACCGGTGCAGATAAGGAGAGACATGTAACTAAGTCAAAAGAGATAGTAACTATTGGTAATCTGCATATAGATGGGCTAATGCAGTCAGGACCAGGGAAGGAGCAGAATCACACATCTTTTAATGCATCTCCAGTCCAGAATTTGTCCAAACGTCTTGAAGGGAGCTTTCAGTCGATTAGCCTTGATGATGGTGGATGTGCTTTCTCTATGTTGAATAGAAATTTACCAATCTATATGAACTGCCCACACTGCAAGCTCTCTAGGGATAAGCAAAATTCACTGAAGACGAAGTTTGCTGGCACAATATCACAGCTTCAAAGGGTTTTTGTGGTATGGAATGTTTCTTATAATCCATTTTTCTCATTACATTCTACAGATAGTTAATAAGTAGGTTGTTTTAGTCATTAAGCTTATTGCTTTGGATTGGCTATCTACAAGGTTTTTCCTATTACATGCATTTAAAATATGCAGCACCATTTTTAATATCCAGAATATGCTATACCTAACCTAACTAAAGGAGGTTTGGTTTTATGCTAATGTTTTTCTCCCTTACCGATGCTCACTAAAGATTCTGCTTGTAGGTCACACCTCCCTTTCCAGTGATATTAGCTACTTGCCCAGTTATACAATTTGAGGTATTTCTATCTCCCTCCTCAATTATAGTATGCATGACCTTAATGATATTGCCTACCTTAATTTATTGGTATATTTTATTTTACAATTTGACACCTGAAGAGTTAGAATTGACACCTGAATAGTTAGAATTCTCTAAGCTTAATAAATCAATTTGCTAGTATCTCTCGGTTCAGTTTCTGTTTCAGAATCACAAATCCTTCATGTTGTTTATTATTGTTGTTCAGTGTGCATGTAACACGCACCTGTTCATTGTTGCTGTTTTTATTCTTACAAAATGTATTGCTAGTTCTACACAATTTTTCCCCTTTTTTCTTTATTAGATATTTCTTACAAACTTAAATCTTTGTTCTCATGTTATTGCAATCATTTTACTTGCAGGCATCATCTCTACCTCCCTCAATCCCAGAACGTGAGCAGAAGTTGCAGTTCAACCTCGGATCCCAAGTGGTTCTACCTCCAGAGAGTTTCATTACCCTTAGGCTCCCATTTGTGTATGGTGTGCAACTGGAAGATGGAAGTTTACATTCTCTTGGTTGTTTCGAACATCAACCTGAAGTAACCGCTTGGATTACAAAAGGGACAACATTGCAGGTCATGTCCAAGAGAAACTGTGTTGGTCAAGATGGAGTTCTAACATAGTCAGAATTGTATATCTTAGGATTTAGCTTTGTCCTTGCTGAGTTTGTAAAGGCAGATTTAGTTGGCTCCATTACGGTCAGGTCAGTACCTGCCATTTCTAAATTTTTTTATAATCATTTGTTTTATTTTTTGTTTTATGGATTAAACTTACCCATGTTTAATGCAGATTCGGGATTAGCCAAGTTGTATAGAGCATTTTAGTAAGCATAAACATTAGGCTGAATGTTTTGCATTGGTGGCCAGGATAGTTAAGTTATTGTCGATCTGATAGATGATATGAGCGTTCGGTTGGATAGGGCTGGATGACTATACAGAATTTCATCTTTGATCCCAAACGGTTGGGATCTGTTAATCTTCTGAAGTTATAATTTGAACCTGATGATTGAAGATATTCATGCAGGCTAAAATTTTCATCGATATACATGATGTTGCATATGGTGATTGATAAATTTCAACCTCAAAACTCACATGAGCATTCTCATTTGCAGCCAGGTATTGTTTTTGGTGACGTCATTTCAGTAAAACTTACTAATAGTTCTTTAATCTTTTCTGGTCTGCCTGTTTTCCAGGAACTGTTTGATTCTTGAACCTCTAGGTGGCTGGTGCTTGAGCGAAGCTTTTCAGAGCCGTGGTATGCTCTCTGGTCTTTATTTTATCCTCTCTTACACTGGAATGGCGGTTCCTTCTATTTAAAACTTAAAAATCAAATGCTACTTCTCATGATCTGGATTCCATCATGTGGTTAACTTCGGGTCCTACAGGCCATCAGATCCAAAAATGTTATTCCATTTTATCATGTTAATTTTTTTTCTAAAAGAAAACATGATAGTAATATGTAGATAGAAGATGTTTAATCTTATATTTTATTGTCTTGTCGCATTAAAGTCGACTTGACTCTATCGTTCTATGTTTTGGGATACCGTGTTCCAGTTCTGTTCTGTGAACGACAAAAATTCACGTTTGTCACTTTGCACATATCAAAAATGCAAATCTAGACCTATGGTTTTTGAATTTTGAGAATCATATAAATAAGTTTCGTATGACCCAAACAAGTTATTAAAACAACCAACGGGGGCTCAGTGGGAGTGGCTGAGGCACATCGATTTGTCCTCTGGTCGTATTTTTAAACCTCAAGGTACCTCATTAGCGATTGCCAGTGTTTCCTTCCCCCAAGATTGTAGGGTTCAGTGGAGGGCCCCAGTTTATAATCCGTGTCAGAACTACAGTGCCCTTGTCATCAAACAGATGCCATTTTGAGAACCTGGTTCACGGTTCAACTTAAATTTCATACTAGATGAATTAAGAAGAAAATATGAGAAACTAAGAAGCAGTAGCATCCCTTCTCCTTTCTATTCAGTTTTATCTTTTCTTCAGTTGTAAAGGCTATCAAAGCTGAATTTGAATTGTATGTAGGATTGAACTAGGGTTTCAAAATCAGTCCTCCATAGTTCCATTGATCATATTTTTTTTTTACAGCGGGAACCCAATATATAGACCTGAAGTTTACAAAGATATAGACTATAGAGAGATAAGAAGACATCAGGAGAGAGAGAGAGAGAGAGAGAGAGAGAGAGAGAGAGAGAGAGAGAGAGAGAGAGAGAGAGAGAGAGTACTCTGAGATTTATAATTACAACTTATAGCTTGTTTCTGTGTAATTGCAAATATATGTAGATCCTGTGTTATATTACATATTGATAACATAAGGTCATACTTGTGTGACAGTTCACTCTTTATTTATGCTTGCTTAAGAAGCTATGCATGCCGCTGGATGCCCTGGATTTCGGCTGGCCCGTAATCCTTGTTACAGTATGGTTGTCATGCCAAAATATACGGGCAAATTGTGGCGGTGTTGTGACGCTTCCATATCTTGGAAGGAGCTTTTGCGCAGTTGCACTAGATGGTCACCATGATGGATGTGGTTGCAATGTCAATTTGGGCAATCTTACTTCTCTCACTATACTAATAGTTAGCCAATCATTTAAAGCATGTTTGGGATTGCTTTCAGAAGGCTCACGAGCGAGCGTAGTGGATTCAGGGATCGTGAGTGATCTTCCTCTTCCTCCCTGTTTGACATGTTCACCACTCAATGTACCAGTCCATTCGCGGTTCAATGCGACGCCTTCAAAAAGACTTTGAATCTAGAAATTCCAAGTGCTAATTGCACTAATTCCCCAACTTTTATTAGTGTTGTCGAGGGTGATGCAAAACGTATTGGTTGATGTATTGTTGGTGTATTCTGCACCGGCCTCTGATGCAAAACTTCAGAGAGGATTCTTTGGCTTCTGTTTGGCACTCTCTGGAATCCTTCCAAATTTGGAATCACGGTTTCGTTTTGATCGCCTTTTTTTTTATCTAAATCTAAACTACATATTAATAATAGTAATAGAATTTTTTTTGTTAACTAAAAGAGGGTGCAAAATTTATTTAGTTTTATATCACAACAAAAAAGTTAAAGGGTAATACTGTAATTTTATAATATAAAATTTTGCTGTTTCTTGTTTAAACCTCATTTACAAGTAATTTTAACACTTCTAATTTAAAAAAAATAAAAAAAATTAAACCTCTCTCACCCTTTCCCCATTCCTCTCTTCCTCTCTTCTTTAAGTTTAAAAACAAATATAAAAAAATTCACACTCACTGTACTGTTCATAGATAAGAATCGTTCTCGAAGTTTCATTTATAGATCATTCATAAAAAAAAAAAATGTATGTCGGTGGTGATGCGGACGACCTCCATATTAGAGCTCAGTTACAATCACTAACTCATCAACTTTTGTTATTATTTATTTTTTGTTAGCTGAAGTATTAGAAGAGGGTCAATTTACACGTTATGAAGAAATGGGTGTCAAATAGCAAAACACTCAGGTGTCAAGAACCACTATCGGTTTAAGTATATTGAAGAAAGATTTTCCAGACTAAATCACTAATATATCATTTGTGTCGTCCATTTAATTATAACACAGAAAACTGGTAATATATGACGTTATACTAAAAAAATTTCTCGACGACCCTCCAGCAACCTTTTAGCTCTTCAGTTAAAGCTCTTTGTCTACTATCATCATCGATTTGTATATTTGACTTACACCTTAATCATTATTATTATTACAGGAAATTAATACCATATTCGGAAATCTAAAAACATATTTCTAGATAAGAAACAATTTATTAGATAGAATAACACAAAAGAAATATTATACATGTATCGATGGGCGTCGAAGATGGTTGAAAATGATAAATTACAAAGCATAAATTGTTCTCGTTGCATGCATGCATGTGTTCATGGCTCTTTGGCAAGTAGAAACCTATATAACTAGACCTTTTTGTTACATTCTGCTTTATATGAAAACTTGGGTTAATTTAAATACTCAGATTACAACATACATGCATATGAGAGATTAGGCTGAGAATCCAGAAGCCAGTTTAAAACCTTGGTTAAGAAAAGCACCCGTGACCCAAAGTTTCAAATTTGGCAGGTTGACGACGTCCTGCTCGCATTTCTTTACCTGTTTTTGACAAATATTAACAATTAGGTAATTAATAAGAAGGACAAAGACTGAACACTTGACGACATCGAGAGGGTAGCAATTTTAACACTTATCTTTTATACCTTGTTTTTAAGTAGTGTATATGTAAAATTAGAAGTGTAACAATTGCCAACAGATCAGAGAAAGTAAAACATATTTATACATACATTCAAAGCAAATGTGATTTCAAATCTGTCAGCTGAAACTGTGTTTAAGTTAGAACTTTGAACATCAAAGCTTGTTAGGGATTCAAGTGCCTTGTAAAGTGATATGGCCACTCCTCCTCCCTTGTTGCATGCCACCTTCACATAAAACCCTTTTTCCTCCACTTGAGACACGTCTATCTGCAAACTAGTTATTTTAGTTTCAACAATTTTGCACAAATTGATTGTTGGAACAATCAGAGATTGTTGTTATATGACCATATTGTTAACCACCTCTCTAATACAAGTGGGTCCTACATACATAAGTGAGTCTGTCTTTAGTAAACCGGTGGTTAGAAAGATGATTAATAGACGTGGTACAAATAACATTACTCTAACCTGAAGGATGCCCTTAGAAAAGAACTGGTCATTGTTTGAATCTTTATTAGGTTTGGTTAATCCTTCCAGATGTCCTTCTCGATCATCTGCTCCGGCTAAGGATGCTTCAAGGCTTGCAATCTCAGCTTTCAACTTCTTAGCCTGCTGTTGCAAGTCTTGTACATACAATACAGAATCTCCAACAATGGAGGCCTTATCCATCTGTGTATATACATCTCCAACATATTAAACAACAATCATGCACACATAACTTTTGTTCTTCAAAGATAGTTTCCGCAAAAGTATATAAAGTTCTTAAGCCTGTGTACGCATTTACAAGTTTTGGATTGGATATGTATTCTTTACCTTGGTTATGTTAGGAACTAAAGACCGCAATGCATATAGCCTTTCCTTCATGCTCCCCCTCCTCTTCCTCTCCGACACCAAAGTCCGCGACCGGTCAACCTTTTGCCTCTTCGTTGTTGTCATGGTTGTGGTTGTTCCAGACGAATCTTCCCCGTCATTATAGTACTCTTCTTCCCCGCCTTTCATTTCTCCATCAAAATTTGGTGTAGCAAACAAAGAAGTAGTTGGATCGGATACAATTACATCATTAAAACCAAACATAAGACCTGGTGGAGTAGTAGAACCAGCTTGACCAAACAGGCTATAATCATCAAAGCAGCCATTCATCATAAGGTCAGGATCAAAATTAGCCGCTGGATCTTCACCGTCACCGCGAATAATATCAATGAATTGATCAAAGTTTGCATCATCTATGAAGTCTTGCAACTCAAAATTGTTGATGTTATGACCTCCTTGATGATGGTTTCCCAGCGAATCCATATAGCTTTTCTTTGTTTGGTAGTGAGTTGTAGCTAACCGTGTCTTAAAATATACTTATATAGATATTGAATTCGTAGAAGTAAAGTTCATATTTTTCTCAAGTGTGAAAGGAATCAGATGCGGTTTCTAAGGTGCTGGAATTCTTATTGTATAGATTAATGCTAGGAAGACCAAATTTTAAACTAAATTTTGTAAATCAAATGATGTGAACGTTGATGAGCGGATTATTACTTAAGTGTTGATTAATGTGTTTATTTATTATTGGTGACACATCATTTAATTTGCAAATTTGATTTAAGATTTCCCTAGTATTAGCCATTTATTTAACGTTTGAAGGAGCTGACAAAACTACAACAAATCATTGCCTCTTAATAAGTACAAATGTTTTTGTCATATACTTAAAGACTAAATGATGTAATTACTATGAAGGAATGTAATTATTTTTGTCTTATTTTCTTGTAAGATTTTATTTCCTATTGTAAATAGATTAGAAGTTATTGTTTTCCTTAGAATTGTATCTCTATATATGTAACTTCACAAAGAGAAGTATAAGCATCAAAGTTTTGAACTGAAAGTAACTCTAATAAAAGATTAAGAGCATGTTTGGGATTGTTTCTAGAAGCGTTATATCTCATTCGAATAACTAAAATCACTTTTTGAATTTTGACAAAAAAAATTTAGAAATTATGGTCATAGAATCTCAAATTTCTAGTGCTTTCTAATTAAGCGTTTGAAAGGTTTTCTAATGAAAGCACATCTAGCATATCTAAATGTTTTTGTATTACCATGGTTAGTCTATTGTGTGGCTTGCCTCAAAACTCTCACCCACTAGGTTTCGTTTGTTCCTTGCTAGAAATGGATTTGAATAAATAACTTACCATAATGAAGGTAAACGTGCTTGATTTTTTTCGTTTTGAGGGATTAGAAGTGAGTCAGACATGAAGAAAACTAATATCATCTAACCTCCTTTTTTGTGGGAGAATGTTTTGTGTAAGTTTTCTTAATGAGAGTAACCTATCTTATGACTTCAAGTTGGTTGCAATAATTTTTTTTCATTTCTTATTAAATACCTTGAATATTTTATATTATCCTTTCTCACTCTAATCGTTAATGGCTAAATGAGGCCTTAGAGAGTTGAATATGCTTGTAAAGTATTGCTCTGTATCAGATTCAACGGAAATTTATTAAGTTGTCAAATATTTTAAAATTTTTAGATTTAAATTAATATAATCTTATGATTAAGCAAAACTGTCTTGATCAGTAGATGACTAAGAAAACATTTCTATATACATATATTAAAGACTAATTAAAGAAATCTTATTTCTTACGATTACTCCACGTGTTTAGTCAACTCCCAACAAATCTTTTTTCTATGTCTTATGAGATATTAATTTATACCTATAGGCTGTTAATTAGCTTATCCAATGCCCTCCCAAGTGATTGTCAACAAAGTAAGAGGTTCCATGAATTATGTATTCGCCTCGTACAAACTTCTCATTTTATTATTTCCGCAAGGAAACTTTCTGATTCAGTTACTCTCTTTGCTCGATTCAGTGTGCCGTTGAACGCCTACAACAAGTACTTTTCACTTTCCAGTCTTTGTATAATTTATCAATTTAAAACACTTAATGCCGCTACTCAGTAATATGATTTAGTAGTATTGATCTTCATTTGTAAGTGAAAGGTCTTTGGTTCGATTCTTGCCAAATGCGAATTTGAATCACATTATTGCTAGCCCATTGTGAGGCTAAGTCTATCTCCTTTCCTTTAGTGTAAATAATATCGTTTATTAAAAAAAAAAAATTAAAAAACACACTTAATGCCGACATGTATCAGTTATGTCATAATTGATAATATATATGCTCATTTGAAGACAAACTTATTAATTTGTACGTCTTGCTGACTATGTCATTCATAAGGTTTACCCTTTGGTGATGAACTCTACATGTTTGGTGATAAAACCGTTAGGTCGATTTTATTGTTTATAATCGAATTAGAAATGAATAAAGAAATGTTTGTCAAGGAGTGAAAATAAGTTTTTTTCGTGACTATTTCATCTACGATTCTATTTTTAAATTGCACAAATTTTAAAATTAGTATCTATTTGTTTCTTACACGTGCATTGAATCTAGTTAATTGTTCAATCAAGTTCAATCAAACACCAGACAAACCCTAAGCATTCAACACAATCCGCAGGACACGTACACAAATTTTTCTTACAAATCACCTAATCAAATTAGTAACATACTTGGAAGTATTCCTGAATTATTATTAATTGCTCCTTGACTTGGAGAGAGCTTCCTTGCGTCGGCCAATGTGTCATTTGGCAGTGAATTGCTTGAAGGCATGTCACATGACGGCATCATCATCTTCTTAAACAAAGTTAATCATATTCTCAGGCGGTCGGGTACTAATAATTTTCGAAGAACCAATTAATTAGTTGAGCTTATATCCAATCAATTAGTTGCAATTAAAACAAAAGAATAATTGGATTGAGTTGTGCATGTGTTGCACCAC